AAAAAATAATGACATCTTGAATTTTGCATGCAAATGGATGGAAATAGAAAACACTATCTTGAGTGAGACAACCCAGACCCAAAAAGATAAATATAGTATGTACTCACTTATTAATGAACTCTAGCCATAAGCAAAGGACATTAAGTCTACAGTTCACAAGCCTAGAGAGGCAAAATAACAAGGTGAACACAAAGAAAAACATATACAAATCCACCTGGAAATTGGAAGCAAACAAAATTGCTGTACAAAAATTGGGAGCAAGGGGGTGGGGCTAGGGATGAGGGTTGAGTTGGGGGAAGGGGAGAGGGGGAGAGAGAAGGGAGAAAGGAAAGACTGGATAGAGCTTGGGGGAGTAGGAAGGTGGAGATGGAGGAAGGGCAGATATATGAGCAGGGAAGACGATATCTACATTAAGGAATCCATTTTAGGGTTGGAAAGAGACTTGGCTCTAGGGGCAAATCCCAGGTGTCCACGGGAATATTCCCAGCTAGGACCTTAGTCAACAGAGCAGAGGGTGCCTTAACTGGCCTTATCTCGCTATTACACTGATGATTATCTCGAATATCACCACAGAATCTTTGTCCAGCAACAGATGGAAATAGAGACAGAGACCCTCATCAGAGTAATGGACTGAGCTCCCAAGGTCCAGTTGAAGAGCAAAAGGAGGAAAAAGATAAGCAAGGAAGTCTGGACCACGAGGGGTTGTTTTATCCACTGAGACAGTGTGCCTGTTCTAATGGGAGCTCACCAAATCCAGCTGGGCCAGGATTGAATGATCATGCAATCAAACTGGACTCTCTGAATGTGGCTGACAATGGGGGCTGACTGAGAAGCCATTGATAAAGGTACTGGGACTTGTCTCTACTGCATATACTGGCTTTTTGGGACCCTAGTCTATTTGGATGCAAAGCTTCCTAAGCCATGATGTAGGGGTTCCCTGCCCTCTCTTAATATATATAATTAATACATATATATTATATTTTAAAATATATATACATATATATATATATATTTGTTAAATTTTGACATAATATTAATGGTCATATAGTGTACTAACTAATTCTAGAAAAAGGTTTCATCTACATTCTTATACATAACTTCGGGTTTGAGTCTATAACAGTTTTCTACAGTGAACCATGAGCATGCCTAATAGCAATCTTTGAAGTCTTCGTAAGAAACATGGGGCTCCACAATAATGACTCAACCAGAAATATGATAACACCCCTAAGCCGTAAAACACCACCTAAGGATCAGCTTTGGACTACAAACTGCTCAGAATAGTTTTGAGGTGGCTAGCTGAGATGATATAGCCTAACAGATTACTTTAGCCAGGACTTGAGACAAGACTTGAATTTTCTCATTAAGCTTTGACTGGAAAAAAAAAGATACAGCTACTTTTCCCTGGACTTGACAATTAACCAAAGTTTTCAGGATCTCTGAAAGATACCATTGCCCCCAGACAACAGGAAGTAAATTTAAGAATATAATGCCCACATTCCCAAAAAGTAGTGTGGGTGGCTTTTGGTAGTTAAATTGATTATGGATGTTTGTCTTTGTTTAAAGTGTTGGCTACAAGTTCTTATGGAATATGGTCAGGAAAAAAGCTAACCAAGGAGATCAGATTCAAGGTTTTTGTTTTGAGAAGAAAAAATGGAGAAATAGATATAATAAGATAAAATGGTAGATTATTAAATCTATTTTCATAAAGCAACTACTAGTTTTAAATGTTTTACATTGGATTCGACTTTTGTATATTATATACAAATTTTGTATATTGAGATTAATTTTGTTAGAACACACTATATATACATTTCTACTCTTATTCAAGGTATTGTACCTATATAACTCATCTAGCAATGTAATGTAAATTTCTAGTCCTTAAAAATTATTATTACCAACTGTTTAGGATAATAAGAAAATGCATGTTAATAATTCTTCATTTATTATAATCAAACTTATAGTCATATTAAGTATGCTTTCAAGGTAAAACAAAGATATATTTAGATAGATAAATACTTTGGAGATCTACAGGATATAGCCTTTAAGGTGTTTTAATAACCTTGGTTCCCTTTTATGACAATGAGAAATGTCTGTTCCTGGCAGTACCAATCTACTTCAGAGAAGTAATGGGCATCAAAAAAACTCCACATGGAGTTCACTTTCTTTGTGGTCAAAGTAAGCAACTGAGCAAGAAAATACCCCTGTCTTAACTGTCGACAGTATGCTGTCCTTATTAGACAAGCAGAACACAAAAGAAAGTAACTGCCAAACATTGTCAATACAAGTAGGGACAGACTTTACAATATTCTGCTTTACAGAAAAGTCTGTTAGATATGCTAGGCCTGTAGACTGAAGATATATACCCTAACATTGCAAAGGAACTTTGGGTGACTGTTCAGGAAGATGGTTGTTTCTGTCATTACTCAAGTTTTTGGAAGTCACTTGCTTGTACTTCCTGCTTACTTAGTTAATATTACTTCATTCATGGGTCTCCAAGGGAGTTGAATACTAGATAGTTACAATTATAGTTTTCCTTGCTTGCCTGATGCAGAGAACAAATTATAATAGAAAATAAATTAGATAGAAAATTTTGGACTCACTGAGATAGGATAAATATGGAGTATTTTCTCTGAATTTGTCAGATACAAATGGACTAGACATTGTGGATATATTTATTGTCTTATATATTGTATATAATTATTGTACTTATTGTATATATATTTTCTTATATTTGTTATAGTCTTTTTTATTTTAGACAAAAAGGGGAAATGTAGTGGCATTTCATTTGTATTTTAATTAATAAAACTTGCCTGAAGATCAGAAAAGTAAAACAGCCACACTGCCCATCCTTACAGACCAGGCAGCAATGACACACACCTTTAATCCCGTAGCCCCAATGACAATTTTAATCCTAGAAGCTATACTAACTTGTCATAGAAACCAAGCAGTAGTGGTGCCCATGCTTAATCCCAGAACTAGGGAGGATTATAAAATGAGAGGAGACAGATCTCAGGCTCAGTCTCATTCTGACTTTTCCTGGAGGTAAGATCAACATTTTTGGACTGGGGTTAAAGTACGAGCCAGTGACTGGCTTCTTTGATTTTCTCGAGTTCAGGTTGCATCCCAATATCTGTCTCTGAGTTTTTATTAATCATGATCTGTGAGTGGGTGATACTGAGAAAGAGTGACAGGAGAACAGACAGATGGGAAAGCAAAAGCAAGCTTGAGAGGGCAACTTCTTGTTCCCAGAGGACAACTTGAGGTGAACTGTTGGATAGGCATGGGGTGGGGCCCTAAATAGGACTAATAATGGGAAGGAGAAGACACATAGGCTCAATAAAACTCCCTAGCCAAAGCTCAGTTGACTTTGCCTTGTAAGCCTTCCCATTTCAATAAATAAAAGTTATACTTTTGATTTCTGCACAGCTTCAACTTCTGTCTTTCTAGGGTGTTGTATTCTTTGTCTGTCTCAGGGATGGAGCACAATATTGCCCTAGATGATAACCAGCTACTCTGCCATGGTCTAATAATATCTATGCTAAATATCCATCTTATCCCAAAATAATGGATGTCATTGAGAAAACAAAAGCCATTGTTGTCTGGACATGATAATAAATGAACCCTTATGTGTAATTGATCAGAATATAAATTAGTGCAACCATTACAAAATATAGTGTAATATTTCCCTATTAAAAATCTCCTAAATTATCAAATCAACATAACTGAGCTTTACCAGTCCTAGATGTGTGCCTGAAGAAAGAAAACTCAGCTTACAATAGTGATATGTGCACACCATGCTGTTTTGGTATTATTTACATTAACTGAGTTATAAATGAGCTCAGCTGTTCATCAGCAAGTGAAAAAGAGGGAAATGGGGAGTGAATATGAGTAACATATCTTAAATATGTGTATTAAGATGTTACAAGCAACAACATTTTGTATAATTGGTATTGCTAATAAAAATAAACAGGGACTGGAGAGATGGCTGAATCAGTGAAGTGCCCATCTCACCAGCATGAAGAACTGTGTCCAGATCCCCAGAACACATGTACTATCCAGTACTGCACACACATCTGCAGCCCTAGCACTGGTGAGGACACTGTCAGTCCAGTCTGTGGAGTTCATTGACAAAGCAGACTGGAATGATGAGCTTTATTCAGTGAGAGACTCAGAGGAAATTTCTCATGTGTGCCTCTGTGTCTCTGTGTGAGAGAGGGTGGGCAGGGAAGAAGAGAATGGCTAGTTGATATAGCAGTGAAATATAGGACAATTTTTATAATTGTTTCAACAGGGTTTTTTAATGCATTTTAAATAATTAAAATAAGGTAAAGAGTAATAAAGACAAACTGCGACATGTACACATGTACACACAAATGTGCCAATGTGTTTACACCCCCATAAACTCAAACATGAACAAAAATAAATGAATGAATAAATAGACAAATAAATAAATAAAATGCACCTAGGCTGTGAATTGGAGCCATATATGTTAAACCATATTTAAATCTATTTTATTTTAAGCATATTTTTAGAAATTTTATATAAAAATTGATAAAGAAAAAGCAATATAAGGGTATATGCGCTGAAACATGGAAGAGATAAAGAACATAAACTATTATTTGATTGAGAGGTTCTTCAGAAATGCTACAGAAAAGTGACTAGTGGAATAACTTTCGTTTGCTGAAAATAATTTGCCATTTGGTGAAAAGTGTTTGCATAAGCACACTCATATGTAAACTTGAGCAACTGTCTCAAAATTCTCATCTGACTAAACTATTGCTTGTTCTAATAGTTCACATAAGAAGAGTCTGTACTTCAAATATTTGACACTTATGTGCATCCACAGGAGGGCAGCATCTTCTGAGAGACCCTAGGCGGTTTCTCACACAGTCCTTTGTGTCTGTGTGCTGTGGGGGTGGCTAGGGGGAGGAGAAAGGCTTCTGAGGTAGCAGTGAAAACTAGGACCTTCTTTCTAATTGGATGAACAGTTTGGTGTTTTTCTTTCTTATTCATTTTACAGCAGAAGAATCTGAACTCGCAAAATTCTAGTCATTTTGTTACCGTTGAAGAGTGAATCTTCAGTGAAAACAATGATACATCCCTTAAGTGTTCTGCTAGTGGTATTCTGGCTTCAACTGAGGGGTGAGTTTGATCATTCCTATGGGAACATAAAAATACAATAGGGGAGAGGATAGCCTCAGATATTTTAGGTGGAAGGGTAGAAGTACTAATTTTCTCATGCTGAAACAAAAGCAGGTGGGAGGGCCATGGAAAAGCCCTTCTGGGTTGTTAGTATCCATAGACAACCTGTTTTTCCATCTCTTTGCACAGGGGTGAACAGCCAGCAGAAGGTGCAACAGAGCCCTGGATACCTCAGTGTTTCAGAGGGAGCCATGGTCTCTATTAACTGTAGTTTCAGTGACAGTAATTCTCAGTACTTCTGGTGGTACAAACAGCATCCTGGTAAAGGCCCCAAGGCTCTGATATCCATCTTCTCCAATGGCAAAAAAGAGGAAGGCAGATTCACTGTTCACCTCAATAAATCCAGCCTGCAAGTTTCCCTGCACTTCAGAGACTCCCAGCCCAGTGACTCAGCTGTCTACCTCTGTGCAGTGAGCACACAGTACTTCCCTGGCACCTGCAGGCTGCACTCAAACCTACTGAGCCCTGTCCAAGCCTTAGAGCACAGACCACTGGGTGGAAAAAATCTCTTTCTACTCTATACACAATGGGAGTTATGAGAAAGAGTAGAGAAGGCTTGATTGATTGGGAAAGTGTGGGAGAATTTCCACTGGTCTACACCTGGTCTGGTTACAGAGATAAGTGCTAGCATCTACCCATAATCCATGCTTTGTTTCTAGGTCAGCTTTTGTTTCTTTTGTTGCACTCTATGTGAAGCTTTTCTGAGCCCTTCTCAAGTGTACAGAGCATATGCAAAATTAGTTTTGAAAAAATTCAGCAAACTGTGATATTCCTAAATCAGGTATTTGCATTTCTCATTGACCCTTTGAAGACCCACTCAGATTGTTTTGAGGATATGAAAATCAAGTTGCTTAGGTGTAAATATGGAGAATAAGAAAAATGGCCTTGGCTATGGGAAGGAGTCTCAGTCCCTAGAGAGGTTGACTTCCACTGCAGGTGAAAGGCTAGAGACATCCTAAAGATATGCTGTCTTCATCCCACAGGCCTACATGAACCCACACCCACATTCCAAAAGGAAAGTATTTTAACATTTTGAATGTAACCAGGCGTAAAAGGAAAAACACAGTATTGACTTGACTGAAATATTTTCCACTTTTCTCTTATGTTGCTGGCTCTACAACCATGTACACACTCTTTTTGTGCCTATATTAGTGAGCTGGAAGACATGCACATGGCTGTGACACTCACCTCATGCCTTGTCATAAAGACCACCAAAACCTCTATAACAATATGATGTATTTGCTTTTTAAAATCTTTCCATTAAAAATTTTTGTTTTCTAATATTGAAAAACTTGTTTATGAAGTCCCTCATTTCTCTATGACAATTTTTAACATATTTGCTTTTGGTTGACCCTCCCCCAAGCTCATCCCTTCCACCACCTACCTATTCCCTATTCTTACTGAAACATTCTAGTTCCCAGTACCCCCATACCCTCTACTACTATATCATGTGTTCTATTGCCTTCTCACTCATCACTCTTTATGCATTTCTTCGCTCCTGTGGGCAGCTGCCTAGCTTCTTGGCATCTACACATACTCATAGTCACATGAATACATACAAATAAAATGTACAAGCTAAGATTTGCATGTGTTTGTTTCTGAAAGTAGAATAACTCACTTACTATAGTATTTTACAACTGTATCCATTTTCATGCAAATTGTATCATTTCATTTTTTCTTTATTGATGAATAATTTTCATATTGATGTATATATTTTTATCTTTTAGGTCAACCTGTGCAGATATTGTGTATTGGACCTGGGCTTTAGAAAGAATAAGTTGAACTACAGTCTAATGCTGTAGGCAACCTTACTTCTTTTTCATTTTACTTTTATACACAAAATTAGAAAGAAGTGATCCAGTCAAGGTTGTTTTAGATCAGGAAAGCATGATCAGAAAAACATTTAAATAAATGTCAATAAGCACCTACAAAATATTAATAGAGCTGTCCTTTCCTAGTACTTTCTCATGACAGACCAATTCAAACACAATTACCTGACAAGTACTGTAGATTATAACTGGGAAAGAATGAAAGGAAGGCAGAAGAACATATACAAATTCACAGTGCACTGACCATACTGAATTCTATAGCTATGTTCTGACATCCATGTCATAGCTATAAGACATAGACATGTCTTATAAAATGAATGTAAATGTTTAACATAGGAGGCATGATATCATGTCCAAGAACAATCCAGTGAACAAAATACACTTGAAGTAAAAAACCCTCACTCTTTTACTGGAGCCTCTCTCACAGTTACCTCAAGGAACTGTTTCCCATGTTATTCTTTTGACTCTAACACACACACACACACACACACACACACACAATGTATATATATACATACATACACACACATATGTATATATAAACACACACACATATATATAAAATATTCACCAGCATTTCAATATCCAATCTTTTGTTGATGAAAATATATGTTGGCTTCATTTCCTAGAAATTATGACTAGAGCAGCAATAAGTGTGGTTGAGCAATTATCTCTGTAATAAGATAAAGAGTCCTTCAGATACATATCCAGGAGCTACATCACTGGTTCCCTACAAGACTTCCTCATTTAAATTCCTGAGAATGCTTCACACTGATTTCCATTACTGTTACATCATTTATTCTTCTACCCAGGGTGAGTGAAAACACCCTACCTCCCAGCATCTTTACTTTATGTGACGATAGTATTTTGAATGAGGTGACATGAAGTGCCAAATTAGTTTAATTTCCATTCCATTTCATTGTTGACTGAAAAGATCAATGCTTCATTTATTAGCCATTTTTACTTTTTCATTTGAGAGCTCTCTGTTCTCTTCCATGGCTCATTTTTCGGTTGATTGCTTTTATTCTTTAGTGTCTCAAGCCCCTGACAGATGATTAGGTGACAAGATTTTCTTTCATTTGTAGTTTGTCTCTTTGCTCAGTTAACTGACTAATTCATTTTCTTCCTGTGTTTGTTTTTATTAATTTATGTATTTTGGAGATAGGATTTTATTTTGGAGCCTAAAATGGCCTAAAGTTCATGACCTTCAGGTTTCAGCATTCTGAGGTCTGGGATTACAGGCTCATGTGACCATAAGTATCTCCATTTATCACTTTTTACGTTGAAGTGTTGAAAATGTCCCCTTTCTTACCATATTAACCTGTTGCTAACTGAAGTTTTCCCCCAGTTCATTCAATGGTTCTGATTTTTTCATTCATCAATTCATAAAAATATTTCACACGGTAACAGATCTCCTTAGAGTTAAAATATTCTTCTTTTTCCATATTCTCTCAAAATATGTGGAAGTCATATTTGGAACACACTGACAAAAGAGACCTGCAAAGTGAAGAATGTACTCAAGAAAACATCCCGAGAAAGTTGATAGTTAGAACCTGTTTCAGTTATCTCACACTGCATTGCTTTTCTCAGCTGCAATCAATGACAAAAATACTTATAGGGGCAGAGAGAGCAAAGAGAGGGTTTGCGTTGCTGTTAATGTAGTAAGCTCTGAATAAGACCCACTTTCTATAATGAATCTTGTTGTGTGTGCAGAGGGAGTCATGGAGGTGGGGGAGCTTTAGCCAAAGCCATTGAAGGTTTCAAACCAGACAGGAAATAGAGCACAAAATGATGTAAGGATTGTTTTCCCCTTTCCCCACACAGAAGGTGCCTCAAAGTGTTGTAGACATCAGTGGCATTTGACCTTGAGAACAAAGACCTGCATAGGTGGGCTCTCAAAGACACATTGACTGACATTAGATGCATGAATGTGAGGAAAGGTGAAGACACTCTTATTACCACACTCCTCTCTGGTTCTTGGGCACTGTGGATTTTACCTGATGTGAGTACCAAGTACAGAAAAAAATGTATGATGTAATAAGTTCCTGAAACAGATGTTATATTGAATTACACTTATGAAATGGAGTTAAAGCTTACTCTATCCATAAGTAATGCTATGGTCTGTATGTTGGAATACTGTTCATGTAGTCTTTGGGTTCAGAAAACCCTGGATAGGATAGTTTAGGTGTTTCTTTTTCTGTTGGTACACAGACACACTTTGCAGAAAGAAAGAAAAATAATCAGGATTTTTCTATACATTCTCAATGTTTAGAAGTGGAGACTGAACAAATATTTCTAAAGTACAGCAGAACAATTTGTTATAGTCCAAAGCAGATACCTACAAAATATTTTTATTTAACTATGGAACATAGATAAAGAGGAACAGATAATCATTCATCTTTAATTTAAAAAAATTATGTACATTGGTGTTTTGCCTGCATGTATCTCTGTGTAAGGACTTCAGGTCCCTTGGAACTGAAGAAACAGACAGCTGTGAGCTGCCATGTGAATGCGAGGAATTGAGCCCAAGCTCTCTAGAAGATCAGCCAGTGCTCTTACCTACTGAGCAATCTGTCCAGACCCACAAGATAATCATGCAAGGTAATTATTCTCTCTCTCTCTCTCTCTCTCTCTCTCTCTCTCTCTCTCTGTCTGTCTCTCTCTCTCTCTCTCTGTCTCTCTCTCTCTCTCTCTAAATCAGCAGCAGACTCTATCACTTCCAGGTTGTAAAGTTCCAGAACTCTTGATGGAATGGGTCCTTTTTCTCTTCACCACCACAGGCTTCTGGCTTCACTGGCCCTGAAGATGGCTACAATACACAGATCAAGGTGGTACTTCTTCTTCAGAGCATGTACCTGACGCTGCTGAGGATGACATATGCATTCTTGTTGATGGTGGTCCTTACAAATGAAGTGGCTGGTTTTCACTGATCTGCAGTTCATGACTACCATGTACCCTTTGAATGATCTGCGGGCTCCACTCCTGCTGTCTTGCTGTAAATCAGCCTGTTGTAGCAGACAGAGTTGCAGACCTTCGGGGTATTGGGTTCAGGGCTGTACTTCTGCTCATTCCTCTTTCTCAGGAAACTGGAGTAGTTCCAAATGACCGTCCATTGAAGATGTGCAGACATAGCAGTGACTCCTCTCCCTATGGTGGCCAGAAGCAGAGAGAGAGAATTATTCGTTTTTAGTGAACTTTTTGCATTTTATTGATTTTTATTGAGCTCTACATTATTTTCTGCTCCACTCCCTGCCTCTCTCCCCTCCCCTTCAACCCTTCCCCAAGGTCCCCATGCTCCCAATTTACTCAGGAGATCTTGTCTTTTTTTACTTCCCATGTAGATTAGATCTATGTATGTCTCTCTTAGAGTTCTCATTGTTGTCTAGGTTCTTGGGATTGTGATTTGTGGGCTGATTTTCTTTGCTTTATGTTTAAAAACTGCTTATGAATGAGTACATGTGATAATTGTCTTTCTGGGTCTGGTTTACCTCACTCAAAATGATGTTTTCTAGCTCAGTCCATTTGCCTACAAAATTCAAGATGTCGTTTTTTTTCTCCTGTGTAGTATTCCATTCTGTAAATGTATCACATTTTCCTTATCCATTCTTTGGTTGAAGGATATTTAGGTTGTTTCCAGATTCTGGCTATGACAAACAATGTTGCTACGAACATAGTTGAGCACATGTCCTTGTGGCATGATTGAACCTCCTTTCGATATATACCCAAAAGTGGTATTACTGGGTCTTGAGGAAGGTTGTTTTCTAATTTTCTGAGAAATCACTACACTGATATCCAAAGAGTATGTACCAGCTTGCACTACCACCATCAATGCAAGAGTGTTCCCTTTACCTCACAACCTCTCCAGCATAAGTTGTCATCAGTGTTAATAAGGAGAGAGAATAGAGCAGCATTGTAGTGTCAGCTGTGCACACTCCTCACCATTGCA